GGGCCTAAGTATCTCACAAAAATATATTGTTAAATCAATTTTATAGATGACTGCGGTGGAAATTTGTATACCAAGAAATAAATCCTTTTCATGTCAGAAGCCTTCTTATTGATTTCATTCCTTCCTACTTTAGAATTAGTTTAACTGCATGATCATGGTGATAGATAAATACAAATAATATTTTAGCTGCATTATAAACATTTTAATGTTTTATTACCAATAAAATTCATCATTTCATTTCCTATGACATGTGAAATATGTATGTTACAAAATAATATGCATTTGACAACAAGGACAATGCAAAATGGACTGTCTCCAAACATTATATGCTTTTTGCAATTTGACCATATTATAATGGTACCATATTATCCTAATGAAGAAATATTTCATGTTTACCTCATCTGTTGGCCAAACAGAAAGATATCCATGAGGCTTGTTTTTCCTCTTCTTCTTTTCTTTGTCAAGGGCAAGAGATCGATGACTGGTGGACCACTCATCCTCAAAGTCATTTAGGAAAGCCCGTGAATCTATTAAAAAAAAATAATACATGTACTTGGTTCATTAATGCAACAAATAATTATGTTAAATATTTGTATGCCACTGGATTGAGAGATCTATGGGGTATGTTGTTTTTGTCCTGTCTGATTGTCTTTTGTCAACTTTAACCTAGTCCATTTCTCATGTGTATCTTTAATATTTGTTCAACATGTTAATTCATGTACATCAATGAATACTAATATAGGATTTGTTCTTCACATTACAAGACTGGCTCTATATTGGTACATCAAATTCAGCGTCAAAATTAATATACAGAAATCTATTTGAATGTAATGATTCAAAAACATAAGCGATTGAAACAATTAAGATGTGTTTGTGAAACAATTGCTAATTAAGCTTTAACCTCTTAAAATCCCTTCTTTCATGAATGCTTGTATTTAATTGAAATTCTTTCATTCTGGTTTGGAATGTTTACAGATGACACATAGCAGACAAGACTCCTGACATTTATTTTAATTAGAATTATAAAATTTACACATTACAAGTTCTGTAAAAATGAGTCAATGTTGTCACTTTCGTTCACTCTGCATTTCAATTCAACACTTCATGTTAGTCAACCATCTATTCACTGGTATTTAATTTTGCTTTCTGATTTTTCAAAAGATATTTGAATAATTTGATTCGCCAGCTTGGCACAGTGGTAAGAGCGTCTGCTCTAGAGTTGCATAGTAAGGAGTTGATCCTTGAGTTGATAATATAAACAGGTTTAAAACTTTTTCTACAGGAAGAATATCCTAGTGAGAATTACAATGTATCTCTCTTATCAGATCAGGGTCAATAAACCTTTATAATTTTATACTAACAATGAATTACTCCAAACATATACCATTACTTACCAGAAAGTTCCAAGACTTCGACTTTCAAAATCTTTCGCGTGTACAGCACATCGACCTGCTGGCCTTTGAGGACAGCTTGAACATCTGGGACCCTAAATTTCTTTACATCAATTATGGCTGTACATCCATCTAGGTCAAAGAGCACAAGGGCAAACATTGTTCAACCTGTGAAAAAAGGTAAATAAATCAAATACATTCATACATAAGTGCAATAAATCAATCGAATAACCATCAGATCATACCTCAATCTAATTAAAATTAGTTGTTAGATCTGCTCGAAAACTTGCTACACTAACATCTATCAACATCCCATTGAGGGTCACGTCAGAGGTCAAATTCTATCAACCAATCAAATTGTCGCTGGCAAAATCATCTTATATTGTTGAAGCGAATAAGTATAGAGCCGTTCCGAATTTGACCTCTGACGTGACCCTCAATGGGATGTTGTTAGATGTAAGTGTAGCGAGTATGCGAGCGTATCTAACATCTTATTTTAATTAATTAGATTGATCGTACCTTATCATGTGTACATTTGTATGTTAACTTTAAGAAGTGGGTTTTATATTTTAGTGGTTTTGGCGCTTACAACAATTCACTTATTCAGGAGTACAGCTTAGAGAAATCATTTACATATAAATATACAATACACTGAATGGACCTGTGAAGTGCTATTTTATGATTTTGATTTTGAATACACCATATTATATACACATACAGAACCATTAGACACCATGTGCAAATCACAGGGTTGCAAATAACCACTCGCCCATTCGCAGATGCGAGTAAATTTTCCTGTGGGCGACCAGCTCTTGAGAATATTATCGCCCACATGGCGAGTAAGAATTTTATCGGACCTTTTCTAGAATCAGATCGTAGTTTGGTTCAACTATCTAATGTACTTTCCTTTTCATATCCCAGGTGGATTTTTCTGTGTTTGATCATTCAGCTGATTTCATTTTTCAAATATTAATTGTAGCTTTATTTGAGATACAAAATATGTCAATCTAGTCAATTTACCTTAGATATAAATTTAAAGATTAATCATTATTGTAACAAGAATCCCCCCATTCTACACCTGGTTAATTCAGTCCAGGTATGTTTGGCTCCTTTATTTATAAAAAACAACAACATGCCGACCCTTGGTTGTTTGGGAATTTTACAAGAATAAAATATTTTTTAAGCCTAATTCAAAATACATGCCCTGAAACAACTTAAATCAGAAGAAACAAAATTGAATTGAATGATAACATGGAATTTGAAAAGAAATACTATGGCCATAAAGTATTTTTCTCTTGTTTTCATATGAAAAGATTTTTTACAAAGTGAAAAAAAAAAATTGTGGGCCCTATAAAATCAATGTGGGCTAGTAAAATTTGTAAAGTTGGGGGCCCACATGGCCCCTAAAGTTTAAATTTTATTTGCAACCCTGAAATCCCACCAGATTTTTGCAGTATACATGTACATTCTAATTCAATTTTAAATAATCATATCCCGCTGTTCTATGAAGATTCTAAAAATCAAAAAAAATATATATTCCATGGTTAAATTTTGACAAGCAGTATGTCTTCCTGATATGGGGTGTCAAAAACCAACTGTCCACGATGCACACAGATGCAAAACAGACCAGAGTCCCATGGGCCATATTGATCACTAGTGTAGTGCTGTGTATTGAGCCAAAAATTTTGATACGATACAATATTTTTTAAAGCAATATGCAATATATTGGATTCTAAAACAAGTCGATCGAAAAAGCTTTCAAAAAGGGTTATAAATCATTTAAATGCATAATTTTCAACACAACTAACTGTTTTGTTACCCATTTTTAAGTTCTTGTCTCATTGACATTACAAAATAACAGTTCAAATTAAAGCTTTTTATGACATTAAAAATCAACATGTTCAAATTCAATTCTCTTTGTATTTTGTAAAAGTTATAAAAACTGTGTTATTTCCTTACAAGTTATATTATTATTGAACAGTTTTATTTTAAAAAGTGAAATATAATCATTGGTGATTTAAATTCCAATCTTTTTAACAGAATGAGAAGAAAAACTATTTGTCCGATACGTATTGGAAGTTAATTTTGGATACAATATTTTTCTTGAATATCAACATGTATCGATATATTGATACAGCCCCACACTAGTGTAACTTTGGTGATGTGGTTCTCTACCAGATTTCACCCTTGTTGTCCCCCGCTTTCGCGAAAGCGAGGGGACATTAAATCTCATTCGTCTGTCCATCAGTCTGTCCGTCACAAAAACTTTAACCTTGCCCATAACTTTTGATTTAGTGGAGCTATTACTTTCATATTTCACATGTGTATTCCTTGTGACAAGACCTTTCTTTGGGTATCACCAAATCTGACCTTGGAGTTTGACCCACTTTTACACAAAAATTTCAAACTTTTACTTTGGCCATAACTTTTGAATAGTAGGTACTAGGACTTTCATATTTCACATATGTATTGTTTGTGGCAAAACCTTTCATAGGATAACAACAAACTTGACCTTTTGACCTTGACCATGGAGATTTACGTACTTATGGAAAAAACTTTAACCTTGACCAGAACTTTTGAACGGTGGGGGCTAGGGCTTTTGTACTCTACATATGTAATCCCTGTGAGAAGACCTTTTATTGGATACCAATAACTTTTACCCTGTGACCTTGACCTTGGAGTTTTAATTACTTTTTAAAAACTTTAACCTTGGTCACAACTTTTAAACAGTAGATAGTCGGACTTTAATATTTCACATATGTATTTCTTGTGGGAAGACATTTCATTGGATATCAACAACCTTGACCTTTTGACCTTGAGCTTGGAGATTTACATACTTATGAAAAATCTTTAACCTTGACCATAACTTTTGAACGATGGGGGCTAGGGCTTTCGTACTTCACATATGTTTTCCTTTTGAGAAGACCTTTCATGGGATACCACAACTTTTACCCTTTCACCTTGACATTGGAGTTTTAACTACTTTAAAAAAAAACTTCAACTTTGAACACTTTTGAACGGTAAATACTAGGACTATTATATTTCAAATATGTATTCTTTGTGGCAAGTCCTTTCATTGGATATCAACAACTTTGATCATTTGACCTTGACCTTAAAGATTTATGTACTTATGCAAAAAACTTTAACCTTGACCATAAATTTTGAACAGTAAGGGCTAGGGCTTTCATACTTTACAAATGTAATCCTTGTGAGAAAACCTTTCATTGGATATCAACAATTTTGACCCTTTGATCTTGACCTTGGAGTTGACCTACTTTTAAAAAACTTTTTACTTTGGTCATAACTTTTTAATGGTCAGGATTAGGGTTTTCATCATTTAAAAAAATCAACTTCAATGTTACTTTCTAAATAAATGACATATGATATGATGTTCATATTACACACAATGTCATAAAAGATAACATCTCACCCACAAAGACACCGAAAGCGGGGGACAACAATTCTTTGAATTTGCTTGTTATACCTATTGTGGACCTGCCCTATAAACAACCCCCTCCTTTGGTCATAGGGCTGTCACGGTTCTAAATTTTTTCGGATTGGGTCGGTACCTATTTTTTTAAGGTTCGGTTTCGGGTCTTTCAGTCCGGGTAGGTAATTGAATAAAAGCTCAATTATGATTTGTATCATTTTCAACAACAAAATTTAAAAGAATATGTTCATTTAATCTTAGAAATAGCGACATTATAGCTAGTTTAAAGTAGCCTCCTGTCTAGACAACAATTGTACCAATTAAAATTATTTAAATCATCTCCTAATGGCAATGTACTAACAAATCTCTCATTTTTGAAGCCATTCTTAAAGTAAAACCTACTCTATTGTTCAAATAAATTCCTAGAACCTAGACTTTAATAACTTATTTAAAAATGGTTATAATTTAAAAATTGTTTCCATGGTTTCCTGAGAGGGAAAAGTCAAACATGTGGTAATTTCCATTTTTTTTATTTTTGTCTCTGTGATAACTCTTTGAAACTTAGCGGAGTTAATTTCTCAATAATTCTGACGGAATTTAAATTAGGCAGGTCAAAAGGTCAGGAGGGAGGCCCAATATGCATGCAAATCTCCTGCAGCTGCATTTATATTTGACGTCAGTACAAGAGGACTGTTGAAATTGGCAAAGAAGTACTTGTGTATTTTAAATCTATGTTTAAATTTCAAAAATATAAATCTACAATCACTGTCTACTTCGCCCGTTATGCAAATTATCCCATGTTTCCTCTATGGTTGATGCCCTGGCATACTATACAAACAAGACAGTGATTCCTTCATGAAATCACTAATATAATACAATATACATACAACTAAACATGTCAAGTCAATACATATCAACATAAGTTTAAATGAAACATTGGAATCAAATGATGAGTGCCAATGTTACACTGTCAAACAAATATACAATATTTTTGAGGTGCTTGGTATGCTTATTAAAGGCTTACAAATATATATTGGGGTGCCACTCTTGAAATTGAATTAGGGGCAGTCATGATGAACTTGGGCACTGATAGAAATGTTACCGGTATTCATGCATCATGTGCATAGGGCATTCTTGTTTTGGGAGCAGAAATTCCTAGAGAAATATTCAAATGTTTCCTGTCAATTAAATATGTAAAAAAAAAAAAAAAAGGAAAATTGAAGTCTGCAGGTTTAACATATGCTCATAAGATATTCTAGCAATTAAAAATTTCACTGGCAAAATAGTAAAAGAAAAAGTAGATGATGTCAAAATATTTGACCCTTGATCATTAAATGCGACCTTTAATTGACTTTATAGTACTTAATGGGGACTCCCATTCAAAAACAGTCCTCCACTATTTTTGGCACAAATGTGACACGTACGTACTGCATTTAATAACAAACTATAACCTAGGGTATCAGATTGAAATAGCTAAGCATTAAACTACATATAGGATACCTGGCATATTTATATAGTTGGCCATTCTATCCTAAACCTCCTAAAATTATAGGCCAATCATGAAATATATATCATATTGTTAGATTAATGTACCGGTAACTGTGTCTCGTGACTTGTCTGATCCATACAACATTTTTTTATGACTGGACACTCTGTATCTATTCAACATGTTCGAGCCTATTTATTGTATAATAATAGTCAAAAATATAAAATTCTTTTAGTGTGTCATAAAGGCAGGTAAATAACTTAAAATTCTAAAGTAACTCAATCTCGTTTAATTATATCAACAAAAAATTAAAAAGCTAATTGTGTTCTTACCAGATTCCGTCATACCTATTACATATGTAATGTCAATGCTTATTAGGCATGCACTCTCTATTTCCTAAAATAAAATATTCCCTCCCATATAAATATTCCATATTCCCCAAGAAATTAATTTATTTTAGTGCATATTCTTATTCTCTACTCTATATTGGTAAGAAAGCATATCAGCATTAAAATGAAGTGATCTGGTGATCAACAACTATATTACCTGATTGTCATAATGCCATTCTGGCTGACACAATTTACAGAAGTAAATGAATGAACATATGAATGGAGAAAAACAGAATGACATACAGAAGAGCTAGATCTAGCCACTTCATGCAAAAAATAACGCTGTCCTTCTATCAATTAATAAATTATCACCCTCTTTTCTATTTCATATATCAAAAAAAAGAAGCGACTATAAGTACTTCCATTTTCTATATTAAACATGTTAAAACTTCTCTTTGAAAATCTAAGTATTGCAAAACAGAATTTGAAACAAGAAACCCAAGGGTCTCACTAGTCACCTGAGCAATGTTGCAACATGAAACCAGAAATTATTGAAAGGTTTAAACCCAAAAGTAGTCCCAAACATTCCTTAAAGTTGAGAGGGTATGATTTGCACAAACTTGAATCTACAATATTCTAGAATGCTTCGTTATAAATACATGAATGACCAATCATGGCTTTGCTATTCTTGAGAATATTCTAATTTAATGAATTTTCATATACATTTCTATGTAAAACTTTGGTCGGCCATTGTGGCCCCGCCCTACCCCTGGGGGTCAGTATTTGAACAATCATGAATCTACACAACCTGAGGATATTTCCATATAAATGACCAATCATGGCTTTGTTATTCTTTAGAAGAATTTTAAAGACTTTGCCTATATATTTCTACGTAAAACTTTGGTCGGCCAACGTGGCCCCAGGACTCTCACACCACTTTTTTGGACTGGGGCCGGGGTCGTTCAAATTGGGAAAAATTATTGTCACTTTGGGAAAATTAAGATGACTAAAATTCATTTTAAAAAATCTTTAAATACTAGAAGTCATCAAATTAACTCTGGTAACAGAATAAACATAGGTATATGTATCTACATGTAGGCTATTTATGAAAGTACATTAGCTTATTATAAAATATCATAAAATTTCCTGATTTGACAATCTATTATTAATTTGGAGTTCAATCCTTGTCAATACATTGAACTTTTGGCATAAATTTGTTCAAATCATTCAGCATATTGTTACCAAGCACTGTAAAAAAATGTCTGGTGCCCCAATAATCTTGTGAGATTTTGAGTTTCTTTGACTCGCACACAAGAGCAGTTGTAACTGTGAGGTATCTGTGATATATTACTTTTGGACTGGTCCTACCCCCCCCCCCACACTTTTTTGCAAATGTAGACATTATATAGGCATTAAAAATTGGGGCTACCATTTACATTTTGCCACACCCCCTCCCCCCATTTTCAAATTGCTTCTGATGCCTACATTCTTAAAGAAATGGACAGGCTTTCACCCATATCCACGATATTCACTTAAAACTAAAGGGAATACCTCAGTAGTTATATAAAGTACCATATAACAGGGCTGAAACAATTCATCAAAACATTGATAATAGAGAAGTTGAGATTTCTTACGTGTATGTGTACGGGGGGTACTACTAAACAGAGTACGCTAGAGTACGATAGAGTACTTTAGAGTACGCTAGAAAAATTATATTATTTAATGCAATTAAATTGTTTATTTATTGCCCTGTTCACACGGAGAGTTTAATTCGAATTAAACGTAAGTTTACTGCGAATTAGCTTCGCTTTGCGTTCACACGGAGAATTTAATGCGAATTAGTTTACTTCGCATTAGTTTACTGCGCATTAAATTACTTCGCATTAGCTCCGTGTGAACGCTAAGCGAAGCTAATTCGAATTAAATTTTTGGGCATGCGTAATGGCAAAATTAAGTCAAATGCGTCATGTCAGTGGTCAAATTGAAGTACTTGTGCTATTTTTGAGTGAAAAACTAAGGAAAAATGTGTCAATCACTAAAATATGTCTCCAGACACTGTGACATTATGTCAAATGCATCTGTTTCAGGATAAGGTGACGTGATTTGTAAATGACGTCATAATAGCCTTCCTCACGCCTGACTGTCAAAGTAAAATTTTAATTCGCATTAGTTTACTTCGCATTAGCTGTCGTGTGAACGCAATTTAATTCGCATTAGTTTACTTCGCATTAGTTTACTTCGCATTAATTTACTGCGAATTAAACTTTTCGTGTGAACAGGGCATATGTATATACAACTTGATTAAACATTATTATAAACTTATTTTCCAATATTTGATTCAAATATTTGTTTTTAGCGATATTTTGACAAGAAATAACATCCAAAATTAAACGCATTAAAGATTACGGTATACCTATGGCTAATACCCCAATCTCGATTACTATCAGTCAGGGGCATAACTCAAACAAGTTATTTTAAAAATAACTCAAATGAGTTATTTTACATTATTTCACACACGCAAATTTTTTTTAAAAAATAACTTAAATAAGTTATTTTTATATCCTGCTTGGACATTGATTTCATGGAAATTTTGTGTTTCCTGCCAATTTGCATTGCATTTTGGGATTCCATTATGTAATACTAGATGGAGTTCACTGACTCCAATGGAGAATTGGTGAGGAGGTGGAGATAAACAGCATTTACACCTTATTTTGTGGTTTTATCCACATGGTATATATGTCCAGTTTTTATCATTAAATTAAAAAAATTCCCCACTTTTCCCAAGACTTTGGACACTTTTCCTGCATTGAGCAAGGTTTAGATTTAGTCAAACATTTGTTTTTGTCTTGGTGCACGAGGAAAATCCTTTGGTGCACGGGGTGTGAAGTTAGGGAGGAATGACACAAAATAACTTAAACAAGTTACTATTTTATTGAGGCTATTTTGGAAAAATAACGTGTTTGAGTTATTAAGGTTGGGAAAAAGTAGGTCATAGCAAAGAGAAGTAACTCACTGAGACAAAAAAATAACTCATTTGAGTTATTTTTGAAAATAACTTGTTTAAGTTATGCCCCTGACTGACTATATTGTTTCAGACTTTCTTTCTAAAGACTTGCATCTACATTTTATTTAATAATATTAAATTAATTGCATGTGTTAATATTTTTCACATTCACAATGATACATTTTAACGTTTCAGTTAAATTAGATCGGGATCAAACGATCAACCGTAACCTGAAATCAAAAATTGAAATAACTCCTAAAATACAGAAAACATACAACGTTTTTTTAAAATATATATTCAATATGTTAAACTAAAGTAGAAAAACATATAAAAAGTAATTTAATTGCATTAAATTATAAAATATTACTAGCGTACTCTAAAGTACTCTATCGTACTCTGTTTAGTAGGACCGGTGTACGGGTATGTGTAGTAGGGGAATAACCTAAACTCTATGTGTATTACATCATCAATTTTAGTGACATCAAGATTGCTTCACGTTCGTAAAACTTGTAGAATGGAATCTTCACGCAAGTGAAAATGTGTAGCTTTAATAATAAAAATTAGCCAATTTAAGTGTGAAAATGTGATGGTTATACATCATATAGGATGTTTACTTTCACAAGCACTTATTTTCATCAAATTTTGTTTACTAACTGATGACAAAAAACTCTCTAAATAGTTGAAACAGAGACACCGATTGCAGTGTACACTTATTACTACATGTTACACGTCATAAAAATCTTCAACAAATTCTAAAAAATGTGTAGGTCAAAATATATACAAGTACACGTACACATATAGCTCTCTTATATTGTTCAATACATAATTTCTCTATTCAATATTCAATTACAACTTCAATTTTCAATTCAATACATCTTTTAATAATCAGGGTAGATTACATTTGCACCCCTTGAAATTACCGGCTTTGTACCCATTTGGACAATTTAAATTGACACTCAAGAGAGAGATAATTGAGATGGAATAGATTTAACGCAGGATGCTACGACTAGAATTGACACAGAGAATGTGTTATTTTAATCAACAGGCGCAAAAGAAGCATTTTCTTTTTGTATCACCACCTTTTACTTATCTTTTGGAATCTGAATACATTTGTTTTCTTTGACCTAATGATCAGTTTCTTTTTTAACAAGTTTAAAATGTATCGCATCAATTGAATGGTGAGACAAGTAATTGCAAAACGTATCATATTGTGGAGGGGGTGTATCGTTTCAGTCCTACTATATAAAGCTATGAAAATAATTTTAGCTATCAGCATGATCCTAATTATGTAGTTTAAATGCTGGCCATGTGATTATTCTAGATCTGACAGACTTTGATGCGAGTGTGCTCATCAGTGCTAATGCCATAATCGTAGATATTGACAGATATTGCTATATTAAAATTATATCTAATAATTACACATTCATGTAGGGAAAAAATGCTCTACTGTTAAAATGAAGTCCTACACTAGTCCTACGACCCGGCTTGTGGTATTGACTTTCCCGAGACACAGTTAGAAATAAGAATACTCTTCATATAACTAGAAACATTCACTGACGTCTTTGTACTTTGAAAATAAAACATTTTTCAATGAAAAAAACATAAACGAATACTGATGAACCGACAAACCTGTCACCCTTCATGGTCATGCAAGTGAAGAAGCACATGTAGCGTAAACCGAAAGTGAAACTAAGTTTTAAAAAAAAAAATGGGAATTTGGACATGAAAATATTCGATCCACTTGTACATGTAGTTTTTATTTTTGAAATATACATTGATAAACTAATTCACCATGATAACACATAAAAAGATTTGTCCTCTTTTTAAGGCTTCATGATATTTATATTGATTTTTAAATTGTTCAAATCTGTCGGTTTTTCTTCTTCTTTGTAGAGAAGGGGGGGGGGTATTTGGGTGGTGTTTATGATTTCACTACGACACTGTACTTAAATTTTTTACTGTTAATTGTCTTAAGTAATTTAAAATTATCCAAATGCTGAATGAGTTATTGTGCTTCATACCTTTTAGACCAAATGAAATTCAAATGATGTCGATTTTTTTTTTAACTTTATTTGGTTCCTAGTTTAGATTGAAAATTTACTTTTAAAATATCACGCAATGCATACTAATAGATATGAACATGATAAACTTACTTGTCAAGCTGAGAAAGGAACTCTATATAATAAGTAAGGCAGTTGACAACGCCTCTACTTATAGAGTAGTTGTGTACCATACGAACACAGGAAGCCATACGGAAGAAGGGTGACACCAATGTTTCCTACCAGTACACCGTCTACCTGTCTACCTGCCACCTCCACCTGTGTATTTACCATCTACATACTGCCCCCTTTACCTATCGCCAGGGGTACTTAATCATTTCAGGGCTACCAGGGCCATCTGGGATTTCAATAAAATTCAGTTCCGTAAAAATCTTAATTTTATTGATTATTAGGTATTTTTTTGGAAAACAATTTCTACATGTAATACCATTAAAAACAGATAAAGTTCATATTCAATACATTTGAATACAACTTATTATAATTGATATATTGAAAACCAATTAAAAAAAATGTGTAAAAAAATATTTATATATAAATTGTGAAATCAACTTACGTGTTCTTCTGTATTGACTGCTTTAAAAGTGTCTGCTGCCTTTTCTTTCCAAAAAGTCTTGTGTTTGTAACGCTATTTTCAAAGCATTTATAAATTAATCTATTTAAAAAAACCCAAACAAACCGACGTCGGTAATTACACTTTCTGTAATTTAGAGTTAGGTCAGGCAATCTGGAAACATATAATTAATTATACGATTACTTACCAGGAATTAAAAACTGATTAATTGTAAGTAAATAGTTTATATTTAGATCTATATTAGTCGAAGAAATAATTAAAAAAAGAAATAATGCTAAATACTTGTAAGTAAACTATATTATATTAATAAGAATGGAAATTATTCGTTTCGTCATAAAACGTTCTGTATTTTATAACAATCCTATCGTGTTTTGCGTGTATCCTATCGTGAAAACCGTTTATCAGGTCTATCGTGTTTTGCGTTTATCGTGTTTTGCGTTTATCGTGTTTTCCGTTTATCGTGTTTTCCGTTTATCCTATCGTGCGTGTATCCTGTCCTATCGTGCGTGTATCCTATCGTATCGTGCGTGTATCCTATCGTATCGTGCGTGTATCCTATCGTATCGTGTATCCTGTAAAGAATAACGATGCGGGTACTGTACCACAACCTATTACATATTTTCCAAGGCGTGTGAAGTCGAGCACATACATGAAAATGTGTGAAGCTGGACACATATGTAAACACACTAACATTTACCACAGACATAAAAACAAATCTAAACTTAATCAAGCATAGACAGGCTCATGGGGTGAAGCTGGACTCGTACATGATCTCATGCATTTTGCAAACTGCATCCCCGCATCTATTCTAATAGATTTTTCAACATATTTTGTGTTTGTGAATATGTAAAATGCATCATTTTGCATTACAAGTTGAAGATGTTATTAGCCTGTGTATAATGAGCGCAAATCAAATAGCCTTTTATGTAATTTTTTTCACATTTTAATTCAATTTAAACTGCAAAGTTTATTTTATATATGTACATGCACCAGAAAGAATAAATATTTTACATCTATTAGTATTATATTTTAAAGTGAAATGACACCTCCATTTCATAAGCAGAAATGTGAAATTTATACTTGTTATTAGGTCTTTCCACCTTTCTGTGGAAAGACCTATTGAAATTCTTCTGTTTATTAGGTCTTTCCACCTTTCTGTGGAAAGACCTATTGATTTCCTTCTGTTTCTTCTTTTTTATTATTTTTCCGCCGTGTGATTTTTTGTTTCAAGATTTATCGAAAAGATTTATAGTCCATACGAATGTACTCCGTAAAAGATTATTGCAGTTCACCCTGCGTAAATGAACCTTGACCGCTTTCGAGGTTATTGCCCCTTTCGAAAGAAATGCTTGTTATCGCTACTTCTTTGAAACCGTAAACCATAGAGGTATGAAACCTTCACCAATGTCTTCGACTAATTAAGGAGATTCTTCAATCTATTCATTGCGAAAGCATTCGGTGACCCCTTCAATGAGTTATTGCCCCTGAAACTTTTTGAATCTAACAAATAATTATTTTTTTTTAAAACGACAAGTTGTAGACACATGGGACCAACTGCGTAAGATTCATTGACCTTTGACCTTAAAATTCATGTAAAGGTCAAAGGTCAAGGTCATTTCAAAAATGATAAATTTAGCTCTTTTTATATCTCTTTTGTCTTTCAACATATACGTAATGTCTATGCATCATTAGTATGTACTCTTAAAACTGTTTCAAAGATTTCCTTCTTGTCCCCTAACATTAACCCCTTTAAAAGTTATTTCCCCTTGTGCGAAAAACCTTGTTATCGCTACTCCTCCGAAACCGTAGACCGTAGAGACACCAAACCTTCACTAATGTCCTCAGGGTCTTTAGGCCTAACTTCAATGTAAAAGTACAAAAGCATCTGATGACCCCTTACATGAGTTATTGCCCTTTACCTCTTTGTATTTACTTTTAAACCTTATAACTTGAAAACTTTAAGTCATAGAAGCATGGGTTCAAGGTCAAAGGTCAAGGTCATTTTAAATTTTTTTTTTCATTTTTTCTGTGGTTTAAGAGAGTTTTCGTTCTTTTTCATGGAATTTAATTTTTAAGAGTCAGATATGAAACAAATTTGAAATTCAAAGAAGGTGGAATGACCTCTTATTGTTCTGTGAACAATAAGTCTCCTAGTTATTCTTTTTTATTTTTTTTTTTATTTTTTTTCCGCCGCATGTTTTTTTGTTTAAAGATTTATTGAAAAGGTTTATAGTCCATAAGAATGTACTCTTTAAAAGATTATTGCAGTTCACCCTGCGTAAATGAACCTTGACCCCTTTCGAAGTTATTGCCCCTTTCGCAAGAAATGCTCGTTATCGCTACTCCTCTGAAACCGTAAACCGTAGAGGTACGAAACCTTCACCAATGTCTTCGACTAATTAAGGGGACTCCTCAATCTATTCATTGCGAAAGCATTCGGTGACCCCTTCAATGAGTTATTGCCCCTGAAACATTTTGAATTTTACAAATAATTAAAAATTTTCAAAACGACAAGTTGTAGAGACATGGGACGAACTGCATATAAATCATTGACCTTTGACCATAAAATTTTTGCAAAGGTCAAAGGTCAAGGTCATTCCAAAAATGAGAAATTAAGCTCTTTTTATATCTCTTTTTTCTTTTAATATATGCGATCTGTCTTTGCATCGTTAATATGTACTCTTAAAACTATTTCAAAGATTTCAATCTTGTCCCCTAAAATTTACCCTATCAAAAGTTATTGCCCCTTTTGTGAAAAACACTGTTATCGCTACTACTTCAAAACCGTAGACCATAAAGGCATGAAACTTTCACTAATATCTTAAGGGTCTTTAGGCACATCTTCATTGTATAAGAAGTAAAGGATCTAATGACCCCTTATATGAGTTATTGCCCATTAACTTCTTTGCACACAATATTTAAACTCATAACTATAGAACTAAAAGTCATAGAGGCATGGGGTCAATTGCTATGTGACCCTTGACCTTTGACCTTGAAGATCTGATCAAGGTCAAAGGTCAAGGTCATTTCAATTTTTTTTTTTAATTTTCACTTTCTTTCAAGCCATTTCCCTAAAAATTAAATTTAGAGAGTAAAATATAAAACTATTAGAAATTTAAAAAGGTGGAAAGACCTCTTATTGTTCTGTGAACAATAAGCCTCCTAGTCTGTATTTCTTTTTTTTTTTCTCACATGTATCTGAATGTTTAAAGGAAAACAAAAGTCAAAGATAGCTCAATATAATGTTTATATTCAAGGTTAAAACTGGATATTGTTTTTTGTGCTGTATATCTGACTCATCATAATATGAGAAGCAAAAATACAGAATATTTTAGATCATTTTTGATTGGAAAATGAAAAATATCAGTATGCCAATTTTTCCCATTGTTATATTTTTAATTACTTTATCATTAATATCGATGTACATATTAAAGATCTATGTCATCCAATTCAGAGAGTTGTAGGCAATCCTGGTGCAGATAATATTTTTTTCCTGTGTTTCGCAGTATAGCGGGAATACTTTGTATGCGAGGAATGTATATCAATGGTTTTGGTTGTATATGTGGGCGTGGCCAAAGAAAAGGCAATGAGAAATGAGTATTCAGTAATATGTTCATATCATTCTAAGCCAGGGCTCTTCAATACACACACATTTTTTTTGGCTTTATATATATCATATTTGTATAAATATACTGGTAATGGAAATAACAAAACTGTTGAAATGTATTTTAATTTTGATTTTTTCATTCATGCAAATATTATAGGATGTTCATGCATTTTTAACTATTGCACCGAATGCACGTCTGGCATTCTCCTTTGAGACATTATTTACATAGCGACGGACACAGGTTTTCCATAGTTAACCATCTATGGTTTTTGCCTGGGCGGTTTTTAATGTCAGTGATAGGGATACAATTTATTACATGTAAATTATTTTGCAAATGCATTGCAGTGCTTTATTGTTTCACATTCAATGTAATGTATGTTAAAAATTTATGTTTTGTTACATGTATCAAAATAAACGCCAGCTGCTCCAACTAAGCTAACCTGGCTTACATCATAGGTGTTGTG